AAGTCTAAGAAAAGTTGTTTTAATTAACTTATTTTGGTTCTAACTTATAAAGTTCGCAGATTTCCATTAAAAGTTTGAATTGTTTTAAGGCAGCGAAACGGACAAAGAAATTAGAACTGAAAGTATAAACAGGATAAGAACTTCAGATTCCATTTAAGAAAGGAAGCAAAATATATATTACACACACACAAACACACATACACGCACACACACACACAAACACACATACACACACACACACACACACACACACACACACACACACACACATATATATTATATATATATATATATATATATATAATATATATATATATATATATTATATACATACACACACATACACACTCACACACACATTCATTCATTCTCTCTCTCTCTTTCTCTCTTTTCTCTCTTTCTCTCTTCTCTCTCTCTCTCTCTCTCTCTCTCTCTCTCTCTCTCTCTCTCTCTCTCTCTCTCTCCCTCCTCTCAGTCTCTCTCTACATGCGGACTGAATGAGATGAGATTCTTCTTCACTGTAACACTTGCAGATTACTGACGGTGCTTCTCGTTCGCGGAATACATCTGTCTAATTTAGTTTAGAGAATTAGAAGGAAATGCCGGGTCACCTTAATTTTAGATTGAATCTTCTGTGCGGCAAAAAAAAAAAAAAGGAAGAGCGGAGGGAAAAGGAATAAGAGAAAATAGATAACAGAACCGCACCACGAACAATAGAGAAAAAAAAACAATAAAAGGAACAGAAAAATTGTTTTATCCTTGGAGCATGAACGGAAAATTAGCCGCTTTTGCTTGGAGGTGAGTGGGGCTTCTCCTCAGTCCCTCCTCTAAGTCCTCTAAGAGCAACAGACAAGAGGCTCATAAATGATTAGATCTAAGTTGAGAAGAAAGAAACGAGAAAGGAAGAAATGGAAACGGAAGGGGATAGGAATATATGTATATATATATATATATATATATATATATATATATATATATATATATATATATATAATATATATATATATATATATACATATATATACGCATACACATATATACATCTTATGAGAACTAACCTTTTCAAGGGTATGCGCCCACGGTTTGTCTTTTTTATTATTTAAAAAAATAACTGGTGATGCCAATGAGCTTACATAAACAGAAAGAAAGAAATCCCTTTCCTTTCCTTGCCCTTCCCAATAAGCATGTGGTAGTTAATGTATAAAGCTTGCCGACCCTCCAGCAGGAGAGAGAGGGTCTCCACGCTCCCCTTGTGCCTCGCTTGGCCCAATCGTTTACCTTCGGGTTTTGTTCGTATCGTATTCACAAATTGCTGATTTTGAAGGGGGAAGCGGCACTTGGCCCGTGTATGACCTGTACCTACGTCACTGCAGGTAAGAATACCTACGTTTCCGTTACAGATTCTCTAAAAGCGCTCTATTTCTCTTTGAAGGCAACAGTCGTTCGGTTGTAACCAGAGCAACTTCAGAACCAAAAGTGCTTTATCATCGCGACGAAATGAAAAAGAAAATATCGTGTAAAATTGAAAAATCGTTCTAACCGAAAGTTGAGGCAACTTTAAGATTGGATCTGTAGTATATATGTGTGAACATTTTTCTTCTTTTTTTTCCTCCCTTCCTTTTTTTCTCTTTCTCCTACTTCTTCATCAGCCTCATACTTCTTCTCTTCATTATTTTCTTCTCCTTCACTCCTCCTTTTAATGTTTTATTCCCTTCTCTCTCTTTTATCAACCTCTGCTCCGTCTAATCTAAGGATATTTATCTTCTACAAGGCAACCCAGAATCGAATAACATGACAAACTTTGTTGCTCACTTATGTGACAGAGAACTGAACCACACTGTCGAGTTCGAGGCGTGTATAAGAGAAAATATATGGAAGTATGAAATACGTCCGAAACTGTATGAATTGTGTGAACCATTTTTATTTAAAAAAGAATATTATTTTTATTTTATTTTATTTTAATTATTATATTATACTATATTACATTATATTTTATTTATTAATTTATTTCTATTCTATTATTTATTTATTTTGATTTTTTATTTTTGTGTGTGTATGTGTGTGGTGGTCTGTGTGTCGGTGTGGGGTGCATGTGTATGGTATATATATATACGTATGCAGATTTTATATATAGAATATCTACATATTGAAAAATACAATCTTGCAAATAAGATTACATTCAATTCTCAGAAACAACCCGTAAAAAATGTAAATGGAGAGGAAAAAATAGATAAAAAAGATAACGAACAGAAGAGGGAGACAAAGAAAGGCCAACGAAATGGAATTAATATTTATTTTCTCATTCGCCGCCCGACGAAGAGACAAAATAACAAAGACCGGACGAAGAAGGAGGTAAAAAGAATCGTTAATTTACAGTTCTTCACTTCTTTCTTCGCTGCGGATGTCAGGAGCAGGCAAGCGAGGAAGGGAAAAGAGCGAAAGACGGAGCAGAAGTTGATAAAAGAGAGAGAAGGGAAAAACATCAAAAAGAAGGAGGTGAAGAAGAAAGAAAATAATACAAAGAAGTAACAAGCTGAAGATAAGTGGAGAAAGAAAAGAAATAAATGAGCGATAAAAGAGCAGGATGAAAGTTGTGTGGAAACAGGCATGATGCAGGAGATCTGAGAGCTGAGGATAAATGTGCGATAAGGAATAGACAAGTGAAATAACGGTAAAGAAGATAGAGGAGATGATGTTGCCCGGAGGGGGAGCAGGAGAGTTGCGCGGGATGGTGCGTTATGTGTATGTTGTAGTGTGTAGGAAATGTTCTGTTGTATGTGTGGAGGATGGGTGATGGGGTGTAGTATCAAGCAGATTAGAGTAATTTATGGGTGAGAGCAGAGGGGGAGAGAGCGAGGAGAGGAGGTTCGGGAGTGAAGGGGTGGAGTTGAAGAGATAATGGAGAAGAGACATGAGTAGAGAGATTGGTAAGTAGGTCATAGACTCGGGTAGAGACAGACAGACAGCAGAACAGGAGAGCGGAACCCAAGAGAAGAAATAAATATCAGACAGAAGAGAGACGAGAGCGAATAAGAAGCAAATAAATAAAAAAGAATAAGTAAAAGAACCAAGAAGAGAAAAACAACCAAACAAGAACCCACGACAACAATCAGAAAGAAAGAAGGTAGCAAACGAGACGCACAAGCAGCCCCGAACACCGAGAGCCGCCACCGAGAGTCACCGAGAGCGTAACCCTAAGACGCGCCAGAGATAGAGAGCAAGCAGCGAGAAGCAACAAAGGAAAGGAGAGCAGGAAGGAACCACGAGAGAAACAAGCAAATATTCTACGCACCATCATCGCCCTATAATCTAAATAACATTCATTTAGCCAGAATACCTGCTCCAAACTGATATAAGTACGCTCCACTTAGTGCCCAAGCACGCTATCGAAGTAGAATCACTGCATTGCGCGTTAGAGCAGCAAATAGTTGATCGTGCCTAATAGTACTGCCGCAGACTTGGACTAGAGCTAATGAGAGTAAAGGGCATAAAGGGAAGGAAGATCAAACAAATACGCCTCGTGAACCATTTTACAGTAAATAGTTGCCGACGCAGAACCTCAAATCAGTGAAGAGATCTGAAAATAAGCGAAACGAGGATTATCTTTGTCTTTGCTTTCTATCTTGCTTTTTTTTCTGCATTTGAAATACTTTGTCGTTGGAGAGGAAATGCCAAACTTTATGTCCGTTTGATAATATTTTAAATGTTATTATATCTTCAGATGCTTAACCAGCAGGTAGATCACCTAAACGCTCCCAAAGTGATTAAATAAAAATCTCTCATATCGTTTGACTTCATATTTTCTTTTCTTTTTCTTTTGCTATGTGATTATCCTGGCAAACCAATATTGCAAATAGTTTCGCATATGAAGTTCGCTAATTCTCAAGAAGTTATTCCTGAGAACTCCTGAACGTTTACAATGAATGTTGATGTCATCCGACCTCAGCATGTGAAATTAATTTAAGGACCTGCCTCAGAGGCGATTTGCACAAGAAACTGCAAGAAAAATTGAATAATTATTTTTTTTAACAGATAGTGGTCTAATTCAACCCCTGTCTGCAATGACAACCCCATGCCTCTGTATTTAAAAAATATACGACTTCAAGATGATAAAAGTCTATATATTCAGAATAAGATAAATGAACCTCAATCAATGGAGAGAAACCATACCCGACTTACTGCATCCGAATCTCAGTATCTCGCACCTCTTTATGCACCCGAGATTCGCCATGCGATCTTACTGAAGTTTATCTTTATAAAGTCCTCATACATTAACCCCTATAAAGAGCCCAGGTCAAGTTAGAGCAGCCTTCTTTCTTTTTTAATATCCCCTTCAATTCACTTTTTTTTTAATCTCTCTCACAAGG